ATAAATCTGTATTAAACATGTATAATTATATCAACTGTAACAGTTTAAAACATGACACTTAAATTGTAAGGTTTTAATTAAGTAGGAATGATAAGACCAGTTTATAATCTACTAAAATTAAAATCTTTCACAAATACATGTACATGTAGTTTATTTTAAAATTGTTTACATTTATAATTTTTTAAATTTTTTTTCTGTTTTTTGATTTTAAAAAGGAGAAAATTTTGTTATATTTAAATTATTTCATGGATATCAAGGAGATATATTTATCACTGTAGCATTGTTTCTTTTCCCTGTTCTTGACAAATATTTTTGACAGTGTTATGTCATTTTCAGAATTTCCTTTTTCTGAAATCAGAAGTACTTTTAAAATAATTAAAGTATGAATTGATGTCACTTAGAATTCATCTTTATTTTGTTCTGTCTGATATTTAAATTTTAGATTTAACTACCTAATCCAATGATTGAGCTAATGTCCATGAAGTGTAAAAATGGCCATCTTTAAAAAATGTTTGGTTGTTGGCTTCTCCAGACCGACTGACTAAAATGACCAGACTGAAAACTTTTTTCAATGCAAGGGGGGTTTTTTTTTTTTATTCCTCTTATCCCCCTTAAAAAATGTTGTTGAAGAATTTTCACCACCACCCCAAAATTTTTCCCTGAGTCAAGAGAGGGCAAACAAACATTACTTTAAAGATAACATTTCTACTCTTTGAAGTAAAGAAATAATTTAATTATAAAAACAGCAGCTTCGTGGATGCAATGCTTACAACATTTCACTCAAAAAATGGCATACATGTATAATGACAGTCACCAGCCATAACTGAATAAAGATATTTTGCTACAAAATGTTAGAAGTTACTACATGTTGGACTAACTAAATCAGCATGAGGTCAAATTCATAGGCTTTTAATTGGTTTAGTTGCAACATGTTTTGAAGTATGTTTTTCATAAACATGTTACTTCTAAAGGTGTTGCATTATAATTCATGGACAATTTCATCAGAATATTCAGATGTAAAGATTGCAACAAATACTAGAGTTTTTTCCCTGGAATAAATTTTTAGACCATCATGTAGCACAGGAGAAGTTTCATTTTGAATATTTTCAGCCAATTTATGCCTAAAAACAATATCAAAAATAACATTTAGTCTTTAACATTCACCATGACAAGGTGATATCAATGTTCACTTGTCTTTAAAAATGTAGAAAAAGCCTGATTTTTATGTTCCGAACCCATAATATAGCCCCTGTTTCCATGGAAATAAATTGGGGGCATACATATTTTTTTAGTTCAAATTAATGAAAATGATCAAAAATAACTTCATGGATTTTGATGGAATGGTAGATATGTAAAACGTTGATTTTTTTATTTTTGTTGCCATGGCAACGGTTTCACTTTTCAAGGAAAGTTGAAAAATCTTCTTTTTTACCCAAATGTTCACATTTTTGATAACGGAAAATTAAAAATTTAAATAATAGAAGCATGAATTAATAATTAGGTCATTTTAATTTAAAAATTTATAATTTTTAAAATAAATCAATTTTTTCAATGAAAATAATATTCGAGGTGAAATGTGAAATACGTTAACTTTGGCATCATTTACTAAAAAAATAAATATCTTTGAAATCATATTAAATGATGAAGCTAATTCCCTGAATAAATTGATATATAGCATGTGTGCATATTAAAAAAAAATAGGGTTGGAGGGAGACGCAAACCTTACCTTAAATACCCTCGGTATGTTAAAATAGTTACAGCTACGTAGAATGTTTACGGCGGGTGTTTCCTGCTTGAAAAGCAAAACACTTTCGTCATTTTGCACGAAAAACGTTTGGGAAAAACAAAAAGCACCATAGCTAAAGCAGCATTTTGAAAGATATACTGTAACATCCTGCGGAATATTTTTCATGAAATAAAACTGCGTCCCATAATCACACTGTTGTTGCTACATCCAAGACATTTCATTTGTTTCAAATCAAATCTTGGCTACTAACTAAGAGACCAGAATTATTCAAAATTGCAATAACTACAGTATGTAAAAAATAAATTATTTAAACAATAAAATAACTTTACTCTTCAAGACAAAACTAAATAAAGCATTAGTTTTAAGTCACAGCAAGTAAATCAATTCAATCCTGCATTTCTCATTCATAGTTATTACTCAATTAACTTCTTGGCATTCTTTTCTTCTTTCAAAATATATAACTGCACTACCATTACATATGGGAAAAAAGAAAAAAAATAAAATATGCAAAAATATCCATTTGGGATTAACCCACCCCAAAAAGTTCCCTTGGAAGTCCACCAGCATATCCACTAGACCATTTGGACACGATAGATTTCGAGTGTTATTTAATGTTCACATTTTTCATTTCGTTTGGAAAAATTTTTTTTATTAATTTTTGCGTTTTTCAAAAACTTTGAAACAAAAATCGGAAATGGCGGTTTTAAAAAATTCCCTGCCTCTTTGTGTATATATTAAAATTATTCTGTTTCAAGGAGGCACTTTTTTAGAACAAGGGGGGTTCCCTTTTAAAAAACGGAAAATCTGACATATTTCCGTGAGACTAATTTTCACATCATTTGTTGGCAAATTGGAAGTCAATGCGCAGATTCCAAATACTGTTTCTAGTTGTGCTTTAAATATTGTTGCATTTGAAAAAAATTAATATGAGTTTCTGGAACCTAAAAATTATTCTTTTAATCTGCTACACATTTAGGGAAAGTAACAAAAGAAGTGTAACACTCTCTTTCTGTAAAAATAAAGATTTTATTTTAATGTAAAATTGGTACCGACAAAAAAAAGGAAAATGTGACACTTGCAATAACATAATCCACAGTACTACTGTTTTTACAAAACACCACCTTTACAACATTTTAAAGTACACGAGTTCTGTAATCTTTTTTTCCGATGTACATAATCCATTGTCTTTTTTTTTGTCCACCTGTTCAATGTTAAAAATAGCTCCACGTGTGAAAACCAACCAGGTGTAAAGTCATAGTGCCCCGACAGGGAAGCCGAGTTTCGTAATAACATTGATACTTCAGCTGTGAAGTCAATTGAGCGTAACCTTTTTGAACTAAAGTAATAATACTTTTCAAGCACTGACATTAATAAGGTTCTTCTAAAGGTATTTGTAATAATATTTAAAACAAATTTTGAGTGTGAAAAGTATTTAAGTATTCTGCCATTAAAATTTAGAAAAATACTTGTCAAATTTCTACTACTAATCACCATCTACCAGTTGAGTTGGGAAGATGGGCATTAACCATTAAGTGAAAGATTATGTACACTTTGTAATGCTAAACATGTTGCCGATGAATTTCATTTTATACTTGAATGTACTGCACTGTCAAACATCAGGAAAAGGTATATTAATGAGTACTACTTTACCAAATATTCTGAAATTTTCTCAACTGATGACAAAACAAGATTCTATGTCACTTAAATTAAAAAACTCTGTATGTTTATATTAGAAATATATGATTTAGTCTGTCCTCCATAATTGTTTTCCTCACATTTCATTATTACGTGTTTTTTCCTCCCTTTTCCCATTTTTTTTTCATTTTTTTTCTCCTCATTTTCTTCTCCAATTTCATTGTCTTATTATGTATATCATATACTTATACCTCTGACCAGAATGTACATATGCTGTAAATATTTTTCATTGTCCTCATGTACCATGTACGTTAAATGGTTTTGAGTGAATAAATGAACTTGAACTTGAACTGTTTGCAACAATTCAACAAATTATCACTAATTATGTTTGATTGACTTTAAGATACATTATGATAGCAAATTTGATAGCATCATTTTGGGGGTAGTTTACAATGTTTTAAAGAAACATTTGACAGTAAAAAAGCTTAATACTCAAAGGTCACAATATGTTTTGAAAAATGAGTGAAAACGACAACGTGTAAGAATATCTAAACAATTATTTAAAAAATCAAAAAATGTAGTTATCCACGTTTGTCTGAAATTCAAACAGATGATGAAACTTTAAACCCTCAAAACAAATTTACAATAAGATGCACTGGACAAAACAGCAAAGGCCTGAGAAGAGCAAAGAATTGCAAGAGCACAAAAACAGTTTTAAATGGTAAATGGTAAATTTTCTTAAATACATGTATTAGTGGTCTAACTTGTTATTCAAATTCTTATTCGGGGAGGCAGTTCAATTTATGGAGGAGTCTAGAGAGCAAAATGTTTGCAAAAAAATCAAAGGTTTATGGAGAGGAAGGAACCAGAATCAAGGAAAATGCATGTTTCTATGACAGCGTTCAAAATAAAGGAATTTGGGGATAAAAAGAAGGATAATGTTTTGTCACAACAACAATATTCTCCAGATCTTTCAACTTTTGACTTGTTTCATTTCCCAAACTTGAAAAAAACCTTTCAGAAAAAAAAACAAGTACAGGAAATCATAGGAAATGCGATATTCCAGTATACGAAGGGCCCTACTAAAAAAAAATTGTTATAAAAACGATCAGAAGTTGAATAAAAGTGTTACGAACAAGTGTTTTAATTAAAACATAATATAAGTGAAGTCATGAAGACTTAATCATCGGAAAGCTTTTTTTTGTTTCTTTCAAAGCACCAATGACAATATTTATTGAACAGCCTCGTATATATGGTGATTACGTAAAATCAATTATAATGTGTTATATTATTGTGATTACATGAAATAAAATGAAATGTGTTACTGGCCCCTAACTCAGGTTGTGTATTTTTTCTGCAAAAATTGCAACGTGAATTCTCGGACCAAAGAAAGTAGTTGATTTATTTTTTTAACATACGTTTATTGTAATGATATGAAAAAAGGTATTTTTGACATGGTCAATATTCATCATTAAATAGATTCTCTTTCCTTTCTTCAAAACCCCCTCACGACAAATTGCATCTAAGAAATAATAACTGTTCTATAAATATATAGTCAATACTTATTATTTTTGTATTATTTTTTAATACTTCAGATAGAAATAGAGGGTTGAAAACTAACCTTTCTGATAATGTCCTGACCTCTCTCAGATTTTATATCAACGGCAACACTCTGTAAAATACACCAGTCTCATTCTATATCCTATAATTACGATCCTCCAAAGTAAATCGCTTCTCTGGGTAGCGATTCGGGAGCGGATCAAATGAATCGATTTTAATCACATTGTAAAACAAAGTACAGGATTTTTGCTTCTTTCTAGCATTCAAAACATACTTATTGTGACATCTGTTACATTTTATTACTTTAAAAAAATCGTATACGCAATTGTGGATTTAATATATTGCCTAAAATAAAAATTGAAAAAAATATTTTAAAAAACATCTTGAAAAAATTCTTCATACTAACATTGTCATAATATCAAATTATTTTATGTACCATAAAGGAGCTACCTTTTTATTTCTATTGATTGTGAGGAAGTACACCGATTCCGAACCTTTAAATGGTGGACCCCACAACCGAGTATCATCCCCTGATCCTGTAGAGCAAAAAACAGGATTAGGGAATATTGGTAATAAATATAACACATGAAGAACCATACTCTGTGAGTTGATTTTTAGTTAGATCACAGGACTGAAGTTTTTATCGTAAAAAAAAAATGGGAAAAATATTTGACCTACAACTAAGAAAAAAACCGTGTTTTTTATAGTTGAGGTTGGGATATTTTTTCTGGATTTTTTTAAAGATAAAAACTTCAGACTCCTTTGGTTAGATCAAAGTTGTACCTGGTCGCTCAATTTTGATTACTTCTGCTCCTAAATCACCGAGAATCATTGTGCAGTAAGGGCCAGCAAGCACACTACAAATAAAAGTAACAATAATACAAATATTTTTACTTAAAAGTATTTCTCCACATTTCTTTAGAGTTTGAAATACATGTATATGTAGTTAATGATAATGGAATAGGTCTTACCTTGACATGTCCAGTATTCTGTATCCACTTAGTGGCCCAGGCCATTTTTGTGCATTCTCTGTAACAAAAGGTTAATATTTGATTATTTTTTTGTCCCGTATTGCTTTCCGTAGGTGACTGGAAGTCCAAAAACGGTATCGATTAAAAAAACATAAAATATGTTAAATACCTGAAGTGCATGTTTTTGAAATATTTCTCCCCTTTTAAAGGGACCCAATAATCCGATTTCTACATTTGACACAAATACTTGTAGTCTTAGCTGACTTGATTTGTCGAATAAACATAGCCTGCGCGTTATAGATTTAGAGTTACCTTTCCTGTCTTGTAAATAAGTATGGTAGCCTTGTGACTGCGTTGTAAATATCATTAAGTACAACGTCAAAAAACCACTAGTCATTCCCAATCTAGACGGTTTTGAGTGTTTATGAAGGTTAATCTTTGTTTTGTTTTTTTTTTTGAGAAAAAGTTTTAGGCCTAATGAGTGAATTATGATTTTGAGGTTCACAACTCTTTGAACAATATATGCGATGATTTTGAACCACAAAAACGCATCTTAATTTTTTTTGTTCCATGCATTATAATCACAAGCATGGTGCCCCAAAGGAAAATTTTTCATATTTTAGCCATAATTCCCAATTAATATCTCTGACAAATACTGATGCATTAATTTTATTTTTTTTTTAAGGTTATTCCACCCTGCTACATGTCATAGGATTTTGCAGAAACTCTAATTAGTTTCAATTCATACCTAATAAACAATATTTTTTGAAAGAATGCTTTACAATAGGTGTAATGATAAATATTGTTAATTAAAAGAAATTAAAAAATGCATATTTTCTTTTTTTAATCAATTATTCAGTCTTTAAAAAATGTTGACAAGGGCAATAACTCCTTCTAAAGTTTCTTCATTTAGGCATTTGCTTTATTGTACTTCTAATGTATAATAGTTCCCTGATATTCACAATTCAAAAGTATCTTTTAAGTGGCTTCTTCAACAAAAATGAAACCCGTAAATTTACTTACCTCGTCATTGGTCATTTAAAAATTATTTTGTTAAAACAGATTCTGATTGCACACATAAGTACTCTGAAGTTGACATCAAGAAGATGCTTGAGTTTCTGATTGACAATATCTATGTGGTTTTTGGAGACCAGGTATCCCAACAATTTTGGGAATTCCCATGGGTACAAATTCCTCCTTATTAGCAGACTTATTTTTATATTCATATGAAGCAGAATTTATGCAAAATCTTATGCGTGAAAAGAAGAAAACACTTGCTGTGGCCTTAAACTCACATTTAGATATATCACACGTATTGTAATTAATAATGATAATTTCCATTCCTACGTCGACACATATATCCTGGTGAGCTTGAATAAAAGATACCACAGAGTCCGACACTTCTGCTTCATACTTGGATATTTTACTTGAAAAAGACACTAATCGTAATCTAACAACCAAGCTATATGATAAACGTGATGACTTTAACTTTTCTATCGTCAACTTCCCTTATTTTACGCAAATACCTTCATCACCTGCATACGGAGTATATATAGCTCAGTTGTTTCATACGCAAGAGCATGCTCTACGTATGAACAATTTCTTAAATGAGGTAAATTATTTACAAGCAAATTTATGAAACAAGAATATCAACAGTTCCTTTAAAGTCATCATTTCGTAAATTCTGTGGTCATAAATGACCTTGTCAGCAAATAAAATTTATATTGAGTCAAATGCTGACGGACTTTTTTCATACCAATTGTTAGTCCATTATTTATACACTGAATTGACGACGGATTTTTTCCGTTATTTCCTGATTATGACAACGGCCACGGCGGGTGTGACCGGTCGGCAGGGATGTCATCCTCCATGGCACCTGATCCCACCTCTGATGTTTCGGAGGTCCGTGTTGGCTCTGCTCTTTTTTGTATATTTGTTTAACGGACGTTGAAATTGAATACTGTTCGTTATTTCCATATCCTTCTTGGAAGTATTGAGGGACATTTAGCATTAGAATTATGCATTTTAACTAGTTTTTACATATTTTTCAGAATATTGTTTACAAAAAATGTGCGATTTTTTTGTGTTGACATACACTTCTGTTTATTTGTGTTTTGCATCTTAGATAATATGGTGACCTATACATTTTTTGCAATAATTGGAAAATTTAAAGTTTATTAAATGAAAATAAATGCAGTTTTTGTACTTTGAACCATCAAATTTGTGAGGGTGGAAACACCTTAATGCGATTTTGGACATCAGTACTCAGTTTCTCTCATTTCCGAACTTTTTTCATATTGTTTATCAATTTTGACACATACAACTACAAATTAAGAACAAAAATACTTTATTTATACCGATTTTTATTCATATTATCACACAAGTAAAATTAATTATGAAGCATTCTACTCAGCCTCAGCGCATACCTTAAAACTTAACAATGAATTTGTTTATATCAGATGCAGCAACTAACCGAAACAAGTCTTATAATGATGCTCACCTCATGCAAGTTTGTAATCTTAAGGTTTTGAGTACCTTGGGGAAAGACTTTTTTTCATAATGTGACATGATCGCTTACTAGTTCTATAGTTAAAGGAAGTAAGCAGGTAAGGATCCGGTCGGCAGGGATCGAATGCTGACTTCTTCATGGCACCTGATCCCAAATAATTATCTGATGTTTGTATGGCGAGTCAAACGTTGCAATATTCGATCTTTTCCATTTGTATTTTAAAATTTTCTATTTGTATTGTATAATTTTTATTTGTATTGTATAATTTTTCATTTGTATTGTATTATTTTTATTTGTGTTCTATAATTTTCCATTTGTATTCTATAATTTTCAATTTGTATTCTATAATTTTTCATTCACATTACATATTCGCCATTTGCATTGTATAATTTTTCATTTGCATTGTATATTTTTCGTTAAAACAAAGAAAAAGCATTTAGTTTTACCAAGTTATGCTCATAGCTTCTCACAACAAACTGGGTCTGTTCTGTCTAAGCTTGTTCAATCGAGGAGTTTTAATATTGACTATTCTGTGTCACAGACACTAGTCTTGTTTCAATAAAAAAAATTTACCCCATACTAGTACAATTATTATACTAGTATGGGTTAAAAGAATTATTACTGAAACAAGTGCATGCGTCTCGTGGTTACATGTACCCGACAATATATTTAGTAGCATATGCCTGGTAAAACTAAATGTTTTTTCTTTGTTTTAATATCCCTACAGGCCATTAACATAACTTACTTTTCTTCTGCTAAAAAATGCTCCTTGCACTGAATGATCAGACTGGATAACACGTGTAAACTACCCAGAACATCTCGGGTATTACCAAATCCGATATATAATTAGATTAAACCAATGATATCCTTCGTAACAAAATAAACAATCCCTCGGATACAATGCAAACGAAAAATTATACAATACAAATGGAAAATATAGAATACAAATGAAAAAATATACAATACAAATGATTTTTTAAACAATATAAATTAAAATATACAGTGCAAATGAAAAATTATACAATGCAAATGGCAAATATATAATGCAATGAAAAATTATACAATACAATTGGACAATTATAGAATAAAAATGGAAAATTGTACAATGCAAATAAAAATTGTACAATACAAATGAAAAATTATAGAATACAAAGAAAAATTATACAATGCAAATGGAAAATTTTACAATACAAATGAAAATGATTGAATATAGCAACGTTTGGCTTGCCATATGTTTGAGTATTTTTGAGTGGACTGTGTTTGCTTTGCTCCTGATTTGTATTGTCTGACGGACTTTTTCTTGAATACTGTTCGTTATCGCCATTTTTTTTATGAGTATCCTTCTGTGCATCATCCATACATGTCCCTGTAACCAGGTAGAACGATATTTGGAAATGAATTTGATCTTAAAATTATATCAATTACCTCATAGGTGATTTAAAGTAAGAAATATGTAAGACAGAATCAGAATCACCTTTCTTTATTGAAAGTCTGCTTTTTTTACATCATGTTCTAAAGAAATGAATCACAAATTCTTTTGATACTCGATCTCATTTCTCTACACTATATACATTGTATATGTTTGAAATAACAAATCTATTGAGAATCTATGAACGACACTGCCATGGATAAAGAAAAAAGTCATAGTTGTCATCCCAACTCCAGTGTCTGCTGTAATGAATGTAACACTTCACAGGCTCGGATCCGCGCCTGGCGCTGAATCCCTCACAGTTGACATCGGTCGAACATATGCGCTTACAGTCGATGCGCATCTGGTAATCTTTGTAAATGTAGCTATTCCACTCAAACGATTTGTCGTCTTTCATTATATCTAAAATAATAACGTGTCTAGGATATTGTCAGAAACAATATGGAAAGGAAAAACTGTGGTCACAGAAAAAAATCATGGAATTAATTCACCTCTCGATATTTTTTTTTCAGAAAATCCTATAGAAAATACAAAGTTCAAGGTCACAGTTTTACATTACCAAAACAGAATAACCTTAAACTTTTATCATAGATCGAAACTTTTAATGATATCATTAGCGTTTATTAGAATTTGACTGAAGAATACTAAAATCGAATCTATACTCCACTCACTCCTTCTTGATTGGCAACGAAAGTTGCCCAGAAACTAGACAGAAAGTCCGGTCAAAGGATGTATTCATTATGGCAAAAGAATTCACCTATAGGAGAGAACAATTTCCCGGAAAAAGTGACATTTAAATATTAATCTTTATTTGTTGTTTTCCACGGTATATATGTGTAAATTTTTCAAATTTGTATTTTATACCTAAAATTTTTTATTTACAACTTAACAATAAACCTCCAAAGCTGGTCGAAACACCATTTTGTCTAATAAAGCGTTGATTTTT